AAATTTGTTCATAAGGATTCATTTTTAATTTTCCCAATCAATTTGCGTAAATTGCTGTTATATATATAAAAAAAACTATGGAAAAATGTTGCCGTAGACCCCTATTGCAACGTTTAAAAAACGTTGCTGTAGGGGGTCTACGGCATCGTTGGCAACGTTTTTTAAATGTTGCCGTAGGGGTTCTACTCTACGGCAACACCTTAATTTGCAACACACGTCCAAACGTTGCAAAAGGTCTACGGCAACGTTTTTTGAACGTTGACATAGACTTTTTTGTTGTAGTGATAACTTGTACTTGGACTTCGTTAGAGTTCATTGATAATTTAAATTGATAGTTGAAATCAACTATATTTAACTTGGACTTATCACTAAATAATGATTTTGTACTCTATTTATGATCCCTGATTTGACTTCGTCATAGAGTTTATTGCTAATTTATATTGACCATTGTAATTGACTATACTTAATTCGAATTTTTCGCCGAATAACATTATTACCCCCTTTTTATGACTAGTGCTTTGACTTCGTCAAAGAGTTCCTTGCTAAGTCTATGAATATATAAAAAAGTTTAAAAGATTCTTAAAATGTTGTCGGGTGGTAAACTTTTGGCACATGCTATGCACGTGGCATATTTGTAACACGGTAAGCGACATCCACAGCATGCACCTTTCACCACTAGGCTTCAGACACTTTTGTATCAACAAATATAAAAATTTTAATCAAATTTATTTCTAAAGTTGACCATATTTAATTCAGACTTATCGCTAAATAATGTTTATATACCCTATTGATGACTCGTATTTTGACTTCGTCACAAGCTTCGTTGCCAATTCATATTTATTGTTGAAATTGACTATGTTAAATTTGGATTTATCGCTATTAAATAATATTTTTACACTCAATTTATGACTCGTGCTTTCACTTTGTTAGACAACTCACTGCTAATTTAGATTGATTATTGAAATTGTCATATTTATTTCAAACTTATCGCTAATTAAATTTTTATACTCTATTTATAACTTGTGTTTGGACTTCGTTAGAGAGTTCATTGATAATTTAAATTGATAGTTGAAATCAACTATATTTAACTTGGACTTATCAGTAAATAATGATTTTATACTCTATTTATGATTCGTGATTTGACTTCGCTAGAGAGTTTATTGATAATTGAGATTGACCATTGTAATTGACTATATTTAATTCGAATTTATCGTTGAATAACATTATTATACCCTTTTTATGATTTGTGCTTTGACTTCGTCGGACAGTTCATTGCTAAGTCTGTATATATAAAAATAGTATCAAAGATTTTTAAAATGTGGCCAGGCAGTAAACTTTTGGCACGTGCTATGCACATGGCGTATTTGTAAAGGGTAGGCGACATTCACAACATGCACCTTTCACCACTAGGCTTCAGACACTTTTGTATCAACTAACATAAAATTTTTAATCGAATTTATTTCTAAAGTTGACTATATTTAATTCAGGCCTATCGCTAAATAATGTTAATATACCTTATTGATGACTCATATTTTGAATTCATCACAAGCTTAGTTGCTAATTCATATTTATCGTTGAAATTGACTATGTTAAATTTGGATTGATCGCTATTAAATAATATTTTTACAATCTATTTATGAGTCGTGATTTCACTTTGTTAGACAGCTCATTGCTAATTCCGATTGAGTCTTGAAATTGACATGTATATTTCGAACTTATCACTAAATAAATTTCTGTACTCTACTTATAGCTTGTGCTTTGACTTCGTTAGTG